CCCGAACATTCGGTAACAATGGTCTGGTATTGCTTTAGTTAAAAGCATTGTATGGAAGAGGAGAGGCAATACGATGTTCCCATCGGAAAATAATACAATACTGCAAAGATTGCTTCGTCAAGCTGTCAACAAGTAATCTCTAGTGATTTAGATTAAAGCATTGTAATCCTGAGTCTCACATCCGAAGCAAAATAACAGCCAGATGGCTAAATTTGCACACATTTCACATTTAATATTTCACTTTTTGTTGTTAGCTTTCCCCCTGGAGGAGTGGAGGAGTGATGCAATTTCAAACAAAGCAAATTAAATATTGAGTGCTATAAGCTTTCGTTTCGGTCAGAATTGATAAGCAAACGCAAATTCAGATGTTAAACACAATAAAGAAGTGGGAGCAGCAGTAGTCTAGCACCACTTCAAATGGAATCTTGAGTATATTTCTGCGCAGGTCAGAGTTTCCGTACAGTTTCAGAAGCATTGCGCCTAATCAGCTGTTTCCCTCATAAAATAAAGCGCGAAATAAAACCACAAGCAAAGCCCATAAACATTGATAAATGGGAGCAATAAACAGAAATATTTTCTATGTAACTAACGAAAATTGCATAACAAAAAAATGTGTAAGGAAGACAGAGACTTGTCAACGGTATACAAAAATTAATGACAAACTGACAGTCAGACTAAAAAGAGACATAATTAGGGGTAAAGAAAGAGCAGACATACACAGAGAGAGGGGGAGACTTCACCTTGCAAAAATGCAAGGAAAAATCATTTGAAAAAGGCGTTTCGGTAAAATGGCAAAAACAAGAAAGAAATGAAGGCTTTAATGGCCGAAGATTTTGATACTCTAGCATCTGTTATCGAATTCAATGGGTGCTATGGTAACTGTAGGGTATAATCAATTGGAAAAGTTACTAAGCAGGAGAGCTTTTCTCACAAATAAAAGATTCTTTGGCACGGCTCAATTATAATGATCAAGTGAATTTGTTTTATTTGAGGATGCTCTTTCAACATCTTCAAAATAGAATAATACCTCTTGCAAGGGTATCTAAAGTGTAAGAAAAATAATAAATAAATGCGGCAGCTTCCGCCAACAACAAAAACAACAACAACAACGAGACAGTGGGCGCTGTTGCCACAAGTTGTTGCTGGAATTTGTTGGGGTTGTCTTCGGCCTTTGGTTTTTTTCACGCTACTTGCACAAAAGCAATGGCCAACAATTTCACTTTCATTTTCTTTTTGGCTTTTGCAGCGCAAAATGAAAAGCGGACAGAGACAAGACATGCCACAAGCTGCTGCAGCCGTGGCAGTGGTAGCCGCAGCGGCAGCAGCAGCAACAGGCAGCATGCAGCATGAAGCAGGCAGCAGGCCAAAGCCAAAGTCACGCAGACGCATTAGCGGCATCGCCTCCACGGCATCGAATCGAGCGCGCGCGCCCGCTGCCAATGCACTTTTGGCCAACGCCTGCTTAACGGGTTGTGGCCTGGCCACAGACCCCTCGATCCGATGTCCGGATCCGATTCGATCCAAACATTGAACTCACCAGCAAATCGAGATAATCCTTGCCCGGGTTGAAGCTTAATCCATGAAAGCGACGCACCAATTGGTATTGTTGTGAGTTTACGTTCCACTGCAGCTGGGATCCCGAGCCCGAGGTCGAACCCGAACTGGAGACCGCCGTGGAATATCCTGACTGTCGTCCAAATAGCTGGCACAGCAATTTGTGCGTTTGTTGGCGACGCGAACCGCACACGACGCGACCGGAAGTGCTTAAGCAGGCCATTTTGTAGTATTTGATTTTTGGTTTTTTTTTCTTTTTTGTTTATTTTGATTTTTTGGTTAAATAGGAAGTGGTGCAGGCGCAAGAAACGATCGAGACTCACACACAAAACACACAGAGAATTTAAGAGGATGTGCAGCTCTTTAATTATTTGAGGGCATTCTTCCTTTCGCTTTGATTCTGGTTCTGGTTTATTATTCTTTAAGGGGTTCGTTCTCGCAGGATATATGCGATGATCGATTCACACACGCGCCCGAAACAAGCGGTCGCTCGACTGTCAGTCTCACACTTCTTCAAACGCTAGATCTACGGCGGAACGAGGCAAAGGTTTTTATATATGAGGCGGCAGCGAAGCGCGGTTTGGCTTGCGTCTGGCTCCAGCAGCTCCAGCAGAGTGGAGCTTTAGTGTCTTTGGAGCCGCCCGAGAGCTGGCTTGCACGCCTGCGCGCCAACTGTGGTGAAAGAGTTGTGGATGTCGTGGTGAAATTCGGGCTTTCGGGTTTAGTCCGATCCAAAAGCAGCGGCACGATCTGCTTTCGGCTTGAACTTGAGCGTTGAACGTTGAGGCGGATGCAAATGCACGACAGTTGCACGTCCGCTGTGCAGTTTTAGGGCAACTGCATGGACGCAATCGTGGGAACTTTGCGCCTCCGTGCATGCAACTCCGGGCCCGTGTTCGCCCCGTGCTTTGCTTTTACTCGGTGGGCTATGTTTAGTGCCGCTTAGTATGCGGCCATTACTTTACACTTAGCCTTAGCATTACCATCATTGCTGACACTTTGGCTTAAAGACGATGTCCCATGCAGTTCGGATTTCGCGGTCAGTTATAGTTTTAATTTAATTCTAAGGCACCTCTCACACTTTTCAGTACTTTATTTTGACGTAATAGCTGTTGGCCAGCTGTTCGCCAGGGATGAAACAACGTGCGAAATTTCGTAACGAGCGCAGCCAAGACGTAAGGTGCTAACGCCACACGAGGGTAGAGATGGAATATCGGCTGCATATAAATAAAACAGCTGTTGTCCGCTTTCTACCGACTGCCCATACCTAATCACGTTTACGTAAATCCAACAATTTTCTGTAAAATGTCGAAAAATTTGTTTTTATCAATTACAAACTTTGTTAGAACCTTGGAGCGACTTTTCCTGCCCCATGGCGGACATCCACCAGGTGAGTGGCAGCCAGCTGCGACGAAACAAAGCTAACTTATTGCTTCAATTCGCAGCGCTGGCTCTGGCCGGCTTTCAGCACGAACATGGCAGCACCAGCAGCAACAACCGGACACAGCAGGAGTTCAGTCTGAAGGAATTGATTGGCAATGGAATGCTCTGGGCCGTGCCCAAGCACAGGCGTTCCGTGGAGAAGCGCCTCAACCGCAAATTCGGCTATCCAGAGTACGTGTGGAAGCCGCTGAAGGTGAAGCAAAACATCCGCTCGTGCCAGACATGTGGCCATGACCACGAAATGGGAGTGCTGTGTCGTAAGTCGCAAAGAAAATTATATGAATGGACTCCTGTTAATCAAGCCTATCCCTACAGCCTTCTGCTACAACAAGGTGCTAAAGGAAACGGAAGATATGCAGGCGAAAATCCAAGAGAAACTCGGTCTGGATCCCATCGACAAGGAGGTCATTGTGCTGTACGAGGGCGAGAAGGCCGAACAGACGGCCGAGAATCTGGAGGGCAAACGAATTGTGGAAATGAAGAAGCCCCGTCCCATGTGGTTCACTAAAAATCTACTCCAGAAATCCACACAGCAACTGTCGGAGTCGAAGGAGGTGAAACCCTCCGATCTGGCATAGATATTAAGTCACATTGTGCATTAAACTCTACTTTGTTATCAACAGGCAACTTGTTTATTGTGTGTGAACTGCAACGAGCTCGCTTGCTTCAGGAATCCATTGCTGAAATCCATGGCACTCATTGGTTTGCGTCCCTCCACGCGCAGCTGCAGCACTTCCAGCTGCGTGCCCTGGGCACAGCCTATCAGCAGAGACTTCCTCGAGCGCTGGTAGCTGAAATGGCCTGGTGCCTGCACCGCCAGCTGCTTCTCAGGCAAGCGCAGCTCCAGCAGTTGTATGTGCTTGTCCAGAAAGCTTGTCGTAAGATTTTTGTAGCCATACAGAGCTCTATGCCGGGCATACAACTCGTCCGCGCTGTGCTCTGTCCACAGAATCTCCGTCACTTTGGATGTGATCTTGGGAGCTGCAGGTAAAGAGCTGATAAGAGCGTACTCTGGAGCGTATGATGAAGGTGTTTACCATAGCTGGCAGTTGCATTTTCCTGTGGCTTGGCATCCTTCAGTCTGTCGGACAAGTTGTTCACAGTATCCACCAGCAAGTCGGCGCCCAAAAGAGCCAACGAGGCATGCAGCTCCGGCATGTAGATTTCCCTTCTAATAGGCACTTCACGCTGAGCCAGAACCTAAAAAAGAGTATCTACATGTAGGCAAAAGAAGCCTCCATCTGTCCCATTACTTACAGCACCAATATCAAAGTGATGTGGCTCGATTTTCATAATGGAAACTCCCGTGCTCACATCGCCCCTCATAATTGCGTAGATGATGGGTGCAGCTCCTCTCCAGCGAGGCAGCAGGCTGGCATGCACATTGATCATTCCGAGCGGAAAGGCGTTGATGATGTGTGCAGGAATCATGTGACCAAAGGAGACCACAACGCCCAGATCGTAGTCGGCGCATTGAGCATTTGCGATGGGCCACCGCTGCAAGGGGAGCTGCTGCCGCTCCGCATAGCTTCGCACACAGTTGGCGGGACTCTTGAAGGACGTAACCACGCCCACGTTGTGACTGCAAGTATTAACATATTTTTAATAATTCCGCTTTATTCATAAAGTGACTTTAATCACCTGCAATTCAAGTGAAGGGCCTGAAGACTGGGCAATGAAAAGTTGTCTGTGCCGAAAAACAGAATTCTGGGCGGCTCGTGGGTTGAAATACAACGTTTGATTATGGGGCACACACTTTGCCACGCTTTTCTCTTGTATTTATAAAAGTTATTAACTAGTTTCTGGCCATAAAACATAATTAAAAACTATTGGATAATATGCCGCGCAGAAGTAAACAAAAACAGCTGTGCTAATGGTGCCATCGATGACACTATCGATAAGAAGTAGTGTAGCCGTATATTACAACCAATTCGGTATTTTTTGAACTACGAACTACGGTATATGATGGTACACCTTTGCGGTCACACTGTAAAGAACAAAAACAAAAAGAGAAAAATTATAAAGCGAAATTTTGAAGAATTTGAATTGAATTTGAAGAATTGGAAAGCAGCAGGCTGCCGATTTGTGTGCAACTGCATGTGGACTTGGGTGAAGCGTAATGGAGGCAACAGCTACTAAGACAACCATCCCCCCGGTCAGCAGCAGCTCCAGCACAACATCCAGCGAAAAAATGAACTACGCACTGCAAGTGGCCCTGCAGACGATCAAAGAGCGGTGCATACAGCTGCAGCGGAGGGTGACAAGCATGGAGGAGGAGAACCAGCGACTGCGCGAGGCCAACGCCAAGGACTCCAGTGCTGTGCAGACGGGCAGTGGCGGCGGTGATTCGTTGTCCCTGCGCACACAAGTGGCCGAGCTGCAGCGCCAGAAGGATCAGCTGGAGGAGCACATCGGCATGGTGTCGAACGAGAATCGCAGACTGTGGTCGCGGCTGTCACAAATCTCCAAGGACCAGCAGCAACAGCAGCTGCTGCTGGCACAGGCCCCGGCGAAGGCCGAGGATGCGTCACCCGACTCGCGTGCCAATCAGAATCTTATTCGCTCCAAGACTTTCACACAGCACTCTCCAAATCCGCACTTGCGCCAGAAGATGATCTCAGATGGCCTGAGGGACATCAGCCTCGAGGAGATAGTGCTGGACGACTTCGGGGCCGGCGACACCGAGATGGGCTGCTACCCCTATGGCCTGCCCTTGGAGGAGACAACGGCCAGTGAGCCAGATGCCAATTTGGATGCCAAACGTTGCATGGACGGGCTGCAGGATCTGCGACGGGAGGCCATGAAGCAGCAGCAGGAGCTGAGCTCTGCCCTCACGCTGCTGGAGACCCGTTTTGGTGAGCATTCGCATATTTGAGGTAAAACCTAAATTGATTGTTATCTTATCTATGAACAGCACTGCAGCCCTGCCCGGAGTGCGCCCAGAAGGCTGCCAAGAAGCCAGAAATGGCAGATAAGAGCCTCGAGACCGATGAGAGTCTCAACAACGAGCTGAAACTCTACCACAGCGAGCACAATGACCCACTCAATGGTAGCCACAACGGGCACGCCTCTGCCCCTCCGTCGCGGATGAATATTATCCAAGAGAAGCTAAAGGCCGACGCTGCCGATGCCATGGAGAAGACCTGCCCCATGTGCGGCAAGCAGTACTCCAGCCAGGTGTCGTTCAATGCGTTCCGGGAGCACGTCGAGATGCACTTCATAGACGACGCCTTGGAGATGGAGATCGAGGGCAGTGTGGAGCGACAGTTCGAGTTCGTTTCGCATACGGTGGGCGACTTCTGACCCAACAAACGTATCTATTTTGCCACTGAACTCTGACGAATAGCCCAATTCCCCCAACATAATGGTTGAAATTAGTGTTACAGTTTGAAAGCAATAGGGTGCATAGAACCGCGTGCTTCTCGTTTATTCCCCTGGGGGCATTGTTACGTTTCTAATGTCTAAGCAGATAGAATATATAATCATAAATTAATCAAAATCAGTTGCATTAATGGAATGCTCCTTTTATTTAGATACATTAGCTATGCGTGTGCGTGTGTATTTAGTTTTTAGTTATAGAATGCAAAATACTTGTGGATTAAATGTAACCCCTCGAAAATGCTAAGCGACTTTCTACTGCCGCAGCGACAATCCTCTTGCGATATCGGAGATTCATTTATTCAGCATTCAGCAGTGATTGAGAAGTGAAATTGGAAGACTCTTCTCCAGCTTTGTCCCTCCATAATTGTGTATCCAATATACATACATACATATTAATAATGGCGAATGCTTGGCCCATTGTCATGCCTAATTGGTGAAATGGTTATCAAAGAAGTTATTGCGCAAAAAGTATGCGGGGTGTGTGGAACTGATTAGTGCCTCGCGCGAGGTAAGAAGCAATTAATTAGATTTAGCAGAGCCCGGAATGTGCCCCTGAAATGTTTGACTGAATGTTTATTTTCAAATGCAAATTATTGCAGCTACTTTCTTTAGCTTTCACAACAGGGCGGATTCCATTTTTGCACAATTTGTATACTCTTGGAGAGTCATAAGACTAAGGTATGTAGGTCAATATTTTGTCTGTTTAGAAGGGAAAACTTTATTTAGCTGTGCAAGAAAACTCCCTGAAAAATGTGTATTGTTGCACCCATCTTAATAGAGCTAATAAAATCAATTTTAAATTAGCGAAAGGAGCTTTAAACGCCGCACAGCCTTGCGCTGTTGAACCGCAAACACCTTTTCCTCAAACAGATTTTTTGTTTTCCGCATTTCCATCCAGGCCCGAGCCATTCTTTCAAGAGCATTTATTAAATGTTTTTCCATCGCTCCGTAGATATTGCACAGACTTCAAGTAATCCATCATTTATCATTTCGAAAAGAAACGACAGCAATTAGACTGCCAGTTGCTGGCTGCTACTGTTTGGCGTTTGATTTGCCTCTAATAATCGCCCCACTTAGGTTTTTCGATTTGAACCCGATCCCGAAGCGTTGCGGTGGCATACGCTACTCCAGCTACCGTGCCACAGTCGTAACTAAAGACACTATAAAAGTTACCGAGATGTGGGGGAACAGTTTCAGTTGTGCGACGACGGCCGCACCACCAGCGACAACAGCAGCAGAAGCATTTGCCAATCGTTAGTTATAGTTAACCGGGAGATCGGCATATTCGTATTCATATTCGCATATTCGCATATTCGCATACGAGAAATTATGCAAAACTGAAAGCGACCCGAGACAAAGACAAACACGCGCGTTTCCATTTCCCAGCATCAATTAAAGAACCATAAACAGAACAATCGGAGATTGCATTGCCGCATCTATAAAACAACAATGCCAGAATCGAGAATTTTTCAAAAACTTTTACTATTGCTGCCGCTTGCCTATACGCCGCATCCACAACTGCCACATAATGGTAATCCCATTGGGAACAACTACATTCCAGAACTCGAACAATCATTTAAGTGCAGCAAGTGAAATTGTAACTGAATGACATGTGTGTGGAGAGGATGTTAAAATTGACTGAACTGAACACCAACTCCACCATCGAACTCTTTTTTGCATAAGCAATCAATAATTAATGATTTCATGCCTTGTTTGGAGAACAGCCAAACGAGAGAGTCGATCGGTGTCGAATAAAATTGAATCTGAATAAATAGAAAAATGCGTGGTCTGCGCTAATAGGATTATGAGCCGCTTATCGCTTATTAACGAAAGTGAAATTTTTCTCAGACCTGGTCTCTGCTTCAATTTCGATTTTACAGATGATGGCGATCGTGAGGTGCAACACTGGAACTACGAATATTATGGGAACGACTGGGGTGGCACATGTCGGACGGGACTACGGCAATCTCCCATCCGCTTGGCAGTTCATAAAGTAAGTTCTACGTAGAAAACCAGTGTTCATCCGAAGAAAAATGTGTAAAGCACATGATAAGGCATTTTTTCTGTGTGTAATGGTGCAAGTCGTAGAAATGGGGCAACTTTCAAAGAATTACCAAGAAGCAAACGCAGAAGAAGTTTCAGATTCCTTTAATGGTCTGTTTCACCTCATAGATACCTCAAATTTTTAATTAATATAATAATATAATTAAGAGGTGTGTTGTTTTCTCAACCTTTGGGATACTTTTGTGCTTAATTTGCCATCCATTTGTTTCCGCTGAGCGCATTGACAGCTAATTTGATGAACTTGAGCGCAACAAATTGCTTCCGAATGAGACAAATTGGAAACTCTTTTAGCGCACACTTTTCGCATTACCAGAGTTAATGGTTTTCAAGCGGTGCTGTAAGGGAGAAATTCATTTCAATAAACTCACATTTTGTTCATGCCCTCTGGCAGTCTCTGATCGTACCACTGCCGCGGATTGTGTTTGGGAACTACGACAAAAAGCTGAGATCTCCGCTTAAGTTGGTGAACAACGGGCATTCGGGTAGGTCGTGTTTCAATGTACATTTACATATTCCACTTTGATACTGAAAGATTTGTATTTGCAGCTCACATGGACATACCCGAAACGCGTGACAACAGCAAACCGTTTATAGCCGGAGGCCTCCTCAAAGATCGTTACATTGCGGAGGGTCTCCACTTCCATTGGGGATCCCCGAACTGGAGGGGCTCTGAGCATTCCATCAAAGACCAACGTTTCGATGTGGAAATGCACATTGTTCATAGGAATTCGAGGTATACCGATCTCAAAGAAGCACTAAATCATAAAGATGGCATCGCGGTGCTTGGAGTTATGTTCAAAATTGTCCAAGTACGTTTTCCTAGCAGCTTTTTGATCTTGGAGTGAATTCAAACATGACCAATTTTCTTTCAGGAACCGGATAGCGTGTTTCCCGGTCTGAACAAGATCTTTGCTCAGCTGCCAAAGATTAAGAAATACAAACAGGAAGCGAATATCGTGGGCAGTCTCACGTTGGGCCAATTGCTTGGAAATTTGAACACCCGCGACTTTTTCACGTACAAAGGATCACTGACGACGCCTGAATGCGAAGAATCAGTTACCTGGACCGTGTTCTCCCAGCCCCTGCCCATAAGCTTTGCAGCTGTCTCGAGATTTTGGAACCTGCGCAGCAACGACGGTTACAGATTGGTCAACAATTATCGAAGTATACAGCCACGTAATAGCCGTCCCGTGTACTATCGCACCAGCACGAATCAGATAAGCAATTTGATTGGCTAGCAATGATCGTTGGAGGACTAAAGTTCTGGCCACAACATATACTCGAATTATTTATTTTATATTTTAGGATAAGCAAAGTTGTTACACAAAATATTTATTTGGATTATAAATTATTGAAATCAAAATCTACGGTAACTTTAATGGATATGTGAAAACTTTTTCCAGAAGAACAAGTTCAATCACACTCAAATATTTTCTATTGAAAGATACCGGGTCACAGGCAAGCCCATAGTGCACTTATTTTATAAACACAATAGAACCTTGGACAGCGATAATAATGTCTACAACAGAGTCGAGGACGAAGATATATAATAGTATATAGATATAATTGATAATATCAATATTAGCCAAGACGCGTTGAGGAAATGTCTGAGATCAGCTGAGCGATAAGCATGAACAGAATCTGCATAGAACCAATGGCTAATTGGTTGGATGTTTGCTTAAACCTTACGTGTAAGGTACATTTGTAATGTGTTGAAATGATATAATGACTAATGTTAAATTGATGACCTCCCAGAAATATCAGCTGGAAAAGTACCTGGGCAAATAGAGCCCTAATTTTCCCGATACCAAATAATTTACGTGCCCTTTTGTGGCGAATGGGAAGTTTCTAGTGTAAAGATTCCACGAGCTAAACAGCCAAAGCTTACCCAGACACGTATTGATCTGAAACTCGTTCGTTCTCCTTCTCAATTGGATTCGACACTTTGTTAATTTGTAGTCGGGTTCACACTGCTGGCGAATTGCCAACGTAATTTACTACTCCACTATTTTAATATGCCCTTCCAGAGCGTATAGTGACTCTGAGCAGAAGTTTGCAAGCAAGAAGAGAGCGAAGGATCTTCCAACTGCAACTGCAAGAGTATTCCAAACTTGCATCGTTGAAGTTTGCTTTCCTTTCCTCTTTCCCATTTAGTTCTAAATCAGAGCAGTGTTCCCCATCTTAAAGATGGCCAAAGGTGCCATTAATTACACTCTGTGGTTGTGGCAAAACTGAATTATTGGATTATCTGGTTTGCCAGATGCAAAAGCTTCAATAGGCGGAGCACAGCACAGCTGCGATGGTGCACAGTGGAACCGTTTCAGGATTCAAATTGCAGAAGCAAACAAATTAAGAAGAAAAGCACACATGCCGCTTACTCAACAAGAAGAAAATTTGTTTTCTAGGAGCCTTTTTGGTCTATAGATACCCAAATACGGTGTCACAATATTCCATAAATTTGCATATTAACTGGAATATTTTCTTGAGTCTCTGAATACTTATTTTTGCATTACTCAAACTTGGACTTGTGATGTTCATTTTGTCTAGGTTTAATGGGCAAAGGGTGCCACTATGCGGCAATTGCAATGTAACTCAAACTGCAGGTGATTGCGTTTATCAGAACCAGCCTTGTAACACGCCCATTAAGAAGTTATTGCTGATGCAAGTGGGCTACTGCCAGTATAAATAGTCCTGCCGGGCTCTGGGAAACTCACAGTCTTCTTGCAATCTCTTGCAAGGGCAGAACGTCCTGAAATCATTCGAAAATGATTCTATCGCCTACTCTCGGCCTCCTGCTGGTCCTCAGCTGCTGCTGCTGCTCCAACGCCTTGATAGAGCTATCGGAGCAATATCTGAACGACATTAAGCTCGACCAGGCGGCTGACCAGGCTGACTATAACTACGATCATCAGGGCGATGACTGGGATGGGCTATGCCAAACGGGCAAACGACAGTCTCCTATTGTTCTCAATAGGTTCGATGTAAGTTTTGGGTGCCCACAGCTTGGGAAATATAACCAGATGGGGAAATGCATTTTCAGACTGTGCCAGGGAAAGTGCCTCGCCTTCGCTTCCTCAACTATGACAGTGACCTGCAAACTCCGCTGGTATTGATGAACAATGGCCACACAGGTGAGTAACTAAATGATCATTTGAGCTATGGACTGAACTTGATTTTGTGCAGCCAACCTGGTCATACCACCCACTCGAAATGGACAGCGTCCCATTGTCACTGGTGGACTTCTCCCGGGCAGCTTTGAGGCCCAGAGCATGCACTTCCATTGGGGATCGGAAAACTCCAGCGGCACAGAGCATATAATATTGGATTTGAGAGACATCGCACAGGTGGAGGTGCACATTGTGCACAAGAATATCCGCTATAAAACTGTTGCGGAGGCCAGTATGCATCCGGATGGCCTGGCCGTTCTGGCTGTTCTGATCCGCTCCTCAAGGAGCCCAATGACATCGAGTAACAACCTCGTCAAGATCTTCAATCGGGTTCCTCGCATTGTTCGATACGGCACCAATGTCACAATAACTGGTAAATTGACTGCTGAAAATCTGATGGGAGATATCGTAACGGGACAGTTCTTCACCTATAATGGTTGGTACACTCACAGAAAATGTTCTTTATTTACTGTACTCTTCACTCGGTTTGATCTCTTCATAGGATCGCTGACTACGCCGGACTGTGCCGAGGCTGTTACATGGGTTGTGTTCCCACAAATCGTCAATATTTACTACCGGATAGTTGAGAGACTGTATAACCTTAGAGACTCGCGCTCAAAGCCCTTGATAAACAACTATCGCAGCATACAAGACACAAATGGAAGACCAGTCTACTATCGAAACCTTTAAAAACGAAAAAAGCAGTCCTATTGCTTTTTGCATATGTTTTGCTTTCTTTACAGCAGAATAAAGGAGTAACATTTTAGTTAATGTGCTTAATTAATCTTTGCATTTATTTAATTAAGATTTCATCTGCGATAAGAACTTACAAATTTAATTTCTGAGTGCCACAACTCATTTTGTTTTACATATTTGAACCTAAATGACCTTATTCACCCGACACGACTCTTTCGCTTGTAGCACTCAGCTTTTGTTAGTTACAAACTTAGTGCGCAAAAGTATGCAATGAAACTTTTTGGGGCTGCCAGATTGATCGATAATGCCGGCTTCTCCCTCTGGTTACCATTTGGCGGTTCTCCATGCAAATTTAAATGTTCTGTAGCTCAAAGTCTGTATTATTAAATCAGTAAAAGACGATGAAATATGCACAGTCCAAAGAATGAAGTAAGACAAATATTGAATATAAATGTAACAAATGAACTCGTGGATTAAACAAGCTTCCCTCTGTTGCGGATGAGTGGAATGCTGGCAAGAAATCGTTTTGGCTTGAGCTTTTGTCTGGATATGACAGATTTACTGCGCCATATATCCCCGCGAACAGATACGGCAAACTATAGGCGGAGTGGGAGAAATCGAGACTAGCACTGGGGACTGTGGACAGTGGACCGGTGGACCGGTGGACCGGTGGTGCAGGTGAGGGCGAGATAAAAGGCAAGTCGGCATCGATGCTGCTCATACGCAACGCTCATACAGCGGAGGCACACGCACAGACAGGGGACACAGGAAGGGGTCCACATATGGGCTCCATAGACAATTTGCATTTGCAATTTTCACTGCAGTGCCTCTTGGATGTCGTCTCGCAAACCGATGTGCGTACCCCTACTCCTCCGCTTCCGCTTTCCATTGACTGTTACTGTCGTTTTCTCGTTTTTCGCGTCTCGCTGCGCACTGCATTTTTCACATTTTTCATTTCCGTTTCCGCTTCCACCTCAAAAAGAGAAAAGAATAACCTCCCGCCCCCACACTGGCCCTCCCACTCCCACGCTGGCAACCTCATACCCAGAATTTGCGCGCTTTGTGCGTTTATCTTTGCCTCCGACTGTGATTCTGTCTCTCCTCTCTCTTTCCCTGTCTGCTGGCATGTCTTCTGCTTATTTGCAGATTAATTTGGCTGCTTCCACCTTTCGTCCCGCTCTGTTGGTAGTCTCTGACTCACCTGGGGAGCAATTTGTCGCACAATCCTTTGTCACCAATCTGAAGCATCCACTTTATTCCGTTGCAAATGTGCCATTTCCGGCCACGTCGATATGTTCCAACCAGCGCATTTCCATGCAGCTCCATTTGTGAATTATCCCTCAACTGAAGCCGTCAAACTAATGTTGGTCTTGGCAGAATGTCAATTTCTGGGCGTCAACATTTCAATGGTTTTGACTTGAGGCGACTAGAGTTGGATCAATCAACAGCGATGCTTCAGAGAGCAACTCGATCTTTCTTCGGTTTCGTACGTCATTGTTTGATTCAGATGGCTTCGCTCCCTGTGTGATGTGCCATCATTCAGCGGTAACACTTTGGGAATCCCTCTGACTGATTCGACCCTTACATCAACGCATTCAAGTGGTGCAGCTTGATGACAGAGCGGCATGTAAAACGTGAAGTTAAAGAGCTACAGTAGCTATCCTCATAATGTAATCCACATGCTTCTGATTTGTGCTTCTGCTTCTAAAATAAAAAAAAGAAGAATTTATCATTGCAGGGTTTGCTCTTAATTAAAGGCTTTGGAGCTCATCATCATTACAAATATTTTCTTGGGACTAGACTCGAGGCCTGTAATCCACTTTTTTAATCAGAACAAATCTGAATTTGTTTGTGCAGAACCACGTGGAGGACACGTGTCCTCCATTTGCCCACCCAGTTCATAATCCAAAAGGAGAGGGCGGAGTAAACATGATTTTTTTGTTTTTGTGGGTGAGGTGTGGGGAGGGGAGGGGAGGGGAGGACACAAGTTGTTCCTGCTGTCGCTGTAGCTGATGATGATGATGTTTCCGCTGGCTGACATTTAACGCGCATTTAACTAATTTCATTTTAAATTGTTGACAATTAAGGGGAATTGCCAAGACGAATCGAGAGCAGGAGACCAATGCCTCGAGTACTTCGTGGGAGTTTCCCCATCCACGCCTGCAACGCTGAGCGACGAACACCACGTGCCATGTCGCAGTTAATTTGTTGGCAATAAGTTGGAACACAAGGCCTAATTACAACAACACGCACGACATGACTGCGAAATTTTCATTAAAATGAGCCAGAAAGCCTACGCCAGAGTCGGGTGCGAGTACAATGGATCCAGTATCCGACACACGGTGTCCAACAGTTGCAATCGAAACAGCAATGGCAAAGGAGAGACTGCCCTTTCGACTGGCCGTGGGTAGAGCTGCCTGGTGGATACCCCATCCAGGACCAAAACCACCGCAATACCATCGCAAATCCACTCGACACGCACCTGCGACCGTGCCTGTGACGGTCATGGTCAGTGCCGCGACTTCAGCGGAGGATGCGCGAAAATTGCCATTTGCTGCCGCTTTAAAGGATTTGCTGCAGAACCTGTCCTTTCATTGTTATGGCAAATTAGTCGAGCACGGCCGTCGCATTCAGGAGCGGTAAGCAGTAAGCACAGTGGAGAGTGGAGTCGGGACACTGGAGCTCCTTTTCAATTAGCATTAGCCATTACCCAAAAGCGTTAACCACCCGCAGCTTCTTCTGGCTCATTTTCCACATAACTGCCCTGAGCGTTCTAATTGCATTCCTCTGGGGTACCTTCACGAACGGGATCCAGGAGGCTCTGGTGACCACGATGTACCATCCGCAGTATCCCATTTGGAAGGTGGAGTTCCCCGCGATATCCGTGTGCAGCTTTAATCGCATATCCGAGCGTGCCGCCTGGCGCTATGCCCTCGAGCTGTAAGTCGAATGCTGTTTTGAGCTCAATTACTTATCCAAAATATACTGTAAGGAGCCTCAAGGATCCAAGGCAGCGCGAGGTTAGCTTCTTCTATGACCAGCTGAAGGAATTTTTGTCATTGTTCTACAATCCCAATGAGACAACGGACATTGACAGGGCCCTGCGCTTTCAGAGCTTCCTCGACAGGTTCGACGTTGAGGCACATGAGCTCTTCTTCAATACCAGACGACGCATGCACTTCCTCACACCCAACTGCAGCGACATGTTTGTGTCCTGCCGCATTGCGGGACGTACCTTCGATTGTCTCGAACAGTTCGAGGAAACCCTCACAAGTCATGGCTACTGTTGCACCTTCAACTATGATGGCAGGTTCGCCGAACCATCAGGTCCATCAGGTCTTCAGTGTAAATGTTTTGTAATCGCATCATTTTAGGTATGTGAACAAGCGGGACTTTCGACAGCTTTATTTTGGACCCGAAATGGGCCTGGTGTTGACTCTGAAGACAATGCCCAGCGACAGTTTTTACCAAGTGAATCCTCGAAAGGGTTTTAGGGTAAGGGAGACACAAAAACTCGCACTATCTAGAGATTGATCTTAGAGAATTATGTTTCAGATTTCCATATATGAGCCACATAGCTATCCGGATCCCTTCTCCGGCGGAGTGGCCGAAAGAATGGCCAAGACGGGCGTGAACACTCTGCTGCCTGTGAGGGCAAAGATCTTTGAAACGGTGCCCGAAGCTCGCAGGATGAGTAAGTCGGTGGTAGGTGTCCTCTAAAGTCATAGCCAAATCAATCATTCACTCTCTTTTATGGTGGACTAGCGCAAGTGTCTCTTTGCGGACGAAATGCCATGGATCTTTGCCCGTCGCTATACCTTTAGTAAGTGCATCTCCGCCTGTCGAGCACGCAGCGTTGTCAGCCTGTGCGAGTGCGTTCCCTTCAGTCTGCCCCATCGGTATATTGATGGGAGTGAGACGCGGCTCTACTGCACGCTGCAGCACAATGAGTGCCTGAGGCGCTACTCGTGTGAGTTAATCTGAAATTCATGGGAAATATACTTATGTACATGCAATGTCATGTCCCCTGTCCAGTTAAATGGTTGAATGTCATCACCAGTCGCGAGAACGTCACTGGCCTGGAGCACGAGATGCAGGATGCCCTCTACTGTCCACAGTGCCTGGCCTCCTGCACGGAGACCCGCTACAGCGTGCGCGGTGCCATGACGCTGGCCCTCCCGAGCCCATCGAAGTCCCCACCGTAAGTCCGCTGGAAACATGAATTCATGGCGCTGGCTGCGCCTTCAATTGAGTTCAATTTCCATATGGAATCACTCCATGGCTCGACCCCATTCCCAGGAGGGTTGACTGCTTGCCAAGAGATCGTAAAAGTTTTTCATTTTGCAGGCGAAGCAGCCTTGGACCTACTGCCAATAACAGTTACGGCCATGCCAGCTCCAGCTCCAGCTCCAGCTCCAAAACCAACTCCAACTCATCCTCTCAGACGGAGATGGCTGTGGTTCGTATTTATTTTGCCGAAACGCACATTCAATACTTTCGCCAGATTATTAAGAGTGCCTGGTACGAGACCTTCAGTGAGTATTCGCATACAAAATGGGGGATGGCATGGAGTGGACTTTGGGGAGGGGGTGGCTGTTACAATTTTGCATATCTCACCAGCCATTATCCTCGTTTGCCAGGTACAATTGGCAACATCTGCGGCATTATAGCGGGCTTCTCATTGATTGGCATCTGCGAGCTGTTGTTTTTTCTAGCCAAACAATTATGGCAAGCCTGCAAAGCGGAACTGAGGGCAGAACTGGCACACATTCAATGGCGGAAGGAGCACCAGCACCCCACTAGGGGTACAGGAGCAGCATCAGAAACATCAGCAGCTGCAGGGGCACAGGAGCGACCAATGGAGTTGTTTATCCTGCCGTAATTGAGCGAAATGCATCGTTAATTTTAAAGCTCAGTGATTTTTATGCACATCCTTTGTGTACTCCATTGATCGACTTCCAGCTGGATGGGAATGGTGTGGAGTACACTGTGGAGTCCGGCTCAAGAGCACTTACTTTGCATGGTCATTGTCACATAAAAATAAACAGCGAACCTTCACGTACGATTGCCAATTGTTGGACTGGGAGTGGCGCGGCTTGAAGAGCTGCCAAAAAGGCCCAGACGGTGACATTAGCGCCAGCAGTTGCTACATTCTTTCTGGCCATTTGCCCACTTCGGGGTCAGCGGCAGTTATGGACCACAGAATACACGAGCCTGCTCCTGGTCCCCTCCCAGCACTTACAATCAGCATTATCTTTTATTTTTCGTATGCAGAGTTGGCAGAAACAAACATAACAGAATGCGGCACACACCAGCTGTTCGCTGTGGACCAGGCCAAAACATTTGTCCTGAAATCGAATCTAAATAAGGATTGGTATTGGGAATGGGAAGCCCACTCCGGCGCTTGTGACAATTTCAATTTCAATTATTCTTCTCGAATTACGTTTATCTGCCAGTTAATTTATTGTGTGCTCTGTGAAACCCTGGGATATTTCAAGCATAAACCATTTGTATTTACTTAGTCAGCAATGGGAATTTATTTGTTATTCGTTCGAACGAACACCCTCGGGTGGGGCGAACTCCTCATTAAAAGAAGGCAGATATTACCTCAACGAAATCTTTGTCAAGTCTTAACAATACTTCGATGGAGTGGAATATTACAGCTGTCTGTGTGCTCATACATATGCAAATTTCTGGAAAATTGAAATGATTTTCTATTCAGTTTGTTCGGCAGTTGTTCGGCAGTTGTTTGGCTTTGCCATGCATAAAACTGCCTAAAAATTGCAAAAAATTTAAATGAACGCACTCGATACAGAGATCTCCCTATGCCGGCTCAACAGAATTCTGATGGCATTGTTAAACAAAATACTGTTTGGGAAAGAAAGAGAGCAAAAAACCCCGACAAAAATGGTATGAAAAAAAAGAGAGAAGGAGGGAAAGACGGAAAGTGGAAGTATCCATGGAGCAGAGCTTCAGTTGCGAATCGTTCCGCTTGCCTCTGCACCGACGAGTCGTATTATCGCACAATACAATATGTATATTGGATTATTTCGTTTGTGTAAGTTTTTTGCAAGGGGATACCAGAAGTTGAAACTGAAGCTGGAACTGAAACTGGAACCGTACCTGGTGGCAGACACTAATCCTCACCCCCTGAGAGCGGACGTAGCAGTGGCAGGGGCAGAGACAGAGACAGAGACACAGCGTGCTGGCAGTATAGAATTTCAACCAATAACAAAAATATGCGAGCAAAATCAAAAATACTTCTATGATTTTTTCAATCTCCTCCTCCCTCACCTTCTTCATCCCATGCCCCTTTCGCACCACCACAAAAGCGTTGAAGTTTTTAATTGAATTCTGTATGGAGAGGAGCCTGGTGCTTCACTCCTTTTTGTAAGTTTTATGCCAAGTTACTGCATCGCAAATGCAAAAAGTTGGAATTGAATCAGGTAAGGTGTGCTAAGGGCTGGGTCTGTGGGCGTTTAAAGTTGGTTCGTTGGTTGGTTAGCGCGGTAAAGTGGCGAAGGCTTGTTAATAAGGAAATTGCAAAGATATGCAGAGTAAGTCGAACTTATTTTAACTTACTTTATTGTCATAATCAAGGAGACTGCTGTAAACCCTACCAAATCTGTGTGGGGGTGAGCAGAGATGTTCGATAAATTGAATAATTGAAAGTTTGTTTCATTCACAGTTTACTGCGTGGAAAAGTAAAAGAAAATTGTTTCAGGAGGATGGAATTTTCGCCACCAAACGAATAATCCTTTGAGGACCCCTGACCTGCTTTTACGAGTACATTCCTCTCCACTCCCCCCCTTTGCCACATTTTCGTCACATAAATAAAGCTAAACATCTTTTGTGGCCTTATGGGGTTAAGCCAAGAGGATAACCGCTCGACGAAAAGCCAATGAGTGGAGGTCTCTTCCTGCAGTCCCCCAATGGGTCTCCGAAAATCCAGCAACCCATTTAAAGCACTTTGCCCGGCCTCGTGGTCCCGTTGCTTTCCCTGGCTCATGCTCACTCTGCCATCCCTCTTTCGCAGAATTGCTCTGGTCTTTTTTTTTTCGACAGTTTTTAAGCACTGCAAGCGATGTCAAGCTCTCTCCGACCGTTTAAGCTTTCAATTTCGCCTCTGCTGCTGCCTCTGCCTTTTGCTATGTGTCGGCTGTGTGTGTGTGGAAGGGAGATGAATTATTTAAAGCGTGAGTGTCGCGGCACGTCGCGACGTGTGGGAGAGGAGAGAGGCGAGTGTTCTTAGCAGCTCGCTATTGTTGGTGCGAGTTGTTCGGTATTTGTTTTGCGTCTGCCTGTTGTCTGCTGGCTGCTGGCTGCGCTGCGGCGCTCTCATGAATAAACAGGCAAACAAATTACTGTACTCGACAAACACAAACAAAGGCAAAGCTCGCGCTTACACATTTCGCACCTGCGCTCGCCAAAGTTTTTGTTTAGGCTTTCACATCTTACGCTTAGTACCCGTCAGGTTAAAGGGGTATACTGTATTCGAGCAGATGTATGTAACAAACTATTCAGCATGCAGTTATTTATTTAATGAGTCGGAGTGAGCTTTAATTTTCCTACAGTTTTTCGAATTATTATTATTATTTTAGTCACACGAATTTAATTTCATCTGAATAATGGGTTTGTAAGTTGTAATTGTTATTTTCTTTGAAGTTTTTTTAGGTTTAGCAAACAATGAAATGTAGGCTAAGATTTTAATAACAATTTTTATGGCGATGTTGTGCTCTTGAAGTTGAGCACCAAAAGCCCGCAGAGCACTATTCATTGCTAAGAAAGAACCACAGTGAGCTTGGATGGGGGAATCCTTTTCAGGATATAAGCTGCACATGCTCCATTGCATTCCTAAGCATGTCGAATGCTCGCATGAATGGCTGGCTGGCTGGCTTAGTAGCCACTCACTGGAGAAAACTCACTCAAGCAGTTTCCACCACCGAAGCACAGTGGCAAGAAAGTGGCAACTTTGAGAAAGTCTTTGCAGAGTGAGAGCTTTCAGTTTCCGTCGCTTCGATCCACTGTGCTGAAACTGAAAATCTCAAATTCAAAGCTGTCAAAAATATTTGAAATGTTCTCCGTTCTTAACTCTCTCTCCCTCTCTTTCTTTGCTTTTTTTTTTGGGGAGCACGCCCCTTATCCCGTCTAGACATCAATCAACACCTTCGACATGATGATTGACAGCAGCGGAACTACTGCCTGAAAAATAAATCTGTCATTTGCATTTCAAGTGTCGTTTTGAAATGCATATATATTAATGTAGTATGTACTTGAAAAATCGTTCCTGTTGCTGCTGTTGTTGCTGTTATTATTATTATTATTATTATTGTTGCTGCTAAAGTCAATTTGTCAAAACCACGCCCATGGTATGGACTCTCGCAGCAGATGCTTGTCAAAGCATTTCATTTCATTTCATTTTCTGTTTCACGAGGGAAAACAAGAACACAAAAAAGGGTGGAAAAGCCGTCAATGTTTTCTTTTCCAGCATAAAAACCGATTTCCAACCAGAGTAAACATTAATGTGTGTATATGTATGTATATCAAACCGCATATTTAATTTATATAAAATAAATGATTGAGAAATAAATTACAATTTTGGCTTTAGGCTGCATTCGGATTGTGCAGAAGGGCCTCGGCTGTTGACCATCGCCCATCGGCGAATGAAACACACCTGAAACGGATGTCTGAAAAATGTTTGCTTATGGTTTGGCTTTAATGCTAACAATCCCAAATAACTCCGCAGCGCACTGCAGCGTTTCGTGTGTGTGTCTGGATCTGGCCAGACTATTCGTTTAAATCATACGGAAGCATATTTAAACACTCGACGAACTCGCTTATCTCTGCCTCTGCCCACAGCGAAGTCTCGCCGGTTAATTATTTTAAGCGTCTGCATTACAGCAGCCATGAATTGAATGCTGGCTATCGTAGGTAAAGGATGATATGGATTGGGTAGACACGAGGGCCAGGCATACATGTGCTGGATACATCTCTTTTCATGCAATGTATTTTGCTGAATTAAAGATTCCATAATGGTGTTTGGGTTTTACGCGCAAGGTTTAGTCAGAGAACTACAGATTTTAGATTCAACTTGGTTTGTGGCTTTGCAAAAGCTTGTACACGATTCATTGGACTTATCAAAACCGAGGAAAGTCATTTACCTGTTGGCTTATAGGGCTCCTCGCTCATCGTTGAGGTTACTCATATTTGGCCAGTTTGATGCAGTAAGTTGATGCACTTAAATCAAGTATAATGATACGAAATATATCGAGATTATTCAAGTATTTTTAATTGTTGCAACACAATTGCCATGAATTCCCCAAAAATATAACTTTCAACTTAATGAAAATAAAAATAATGAATTATATATTATTTTAAATTAATGTATAAATTATGGAGAGTCGGTAGCTTCTCAGTTCAGTTACTGAATCGCGTTCTTCGAGTAGGCTTGAAATGTTTCGTGGACTTGTACTAATCGTTTGCTGCCTTGTACTTCAGCAAGCAGTAGGCTCCAAGGCTCAGATTGTGCCCAATATTCTAGTACAATAGATACAATTTTCAATAAAGGATATCCTGATAGGAGTAATACATCTGGAATCATCGATATTGGAAGAGCGCGGAGGAGCCCAAAAACGTCTAATTTCGGACTAAACTGCGATTTTGATTTACCTCCATCGGTAAGAATTGCAACTTTATTCGAAGGGATTTTAAATACCTATTTGTTCCTTAGGAGGATGGATATATCAGATATATCAGTTCCTGATATCTACTGCGGAATAGGTGGATTTAACATAACAAGTACTGCAAAAATGTTATCAGTATCTGTGACTGTTAGACGGGGGTACTGCGGGAGATACGTATGTTTTTTTGTTGCTCACTAAACACTTAACTAACACTAATATGGTGAAATAAAATTGTATATGTGAGCGTCGAAAATGCTTCACATTTATCATGGCTCGAAAGATTTTTGGATTATCCTTTTCTTTCTTCAGTTTACCGTGGCAACTCTTCAATTTGTATCGTTTAGTTGCCGAATGGGTACGAGTAAGATGGCAAGTCGCTCCATAGAAAAATTACTCGTATCTGATACACACACACACACACACTCACTCACACACGTGCACACGTTCTGAGGTTGTAATTTCGTTGGGGTACGTCGAGTATCTGGGCGAGAAATATCCTGCAGCTGATTTTTAATTACGAAAACACAAAAAAGGATGCTGTTGCGACTTCATGTACATATGTAAACACCAATACCAGCACACAAGCACGCACACACACACACTCATGGCCATACCACACATGCTTACTCTCATTTCTGCACCGCATTCCGTCCTCTCACCATCTGCAGACATTCCTAGACCTCAATGAAGCCATCGTTTCCACGGCAGTGTGTGTGTGTGTTCGTGTGAGCCAACAGATTTCAATTTTTGTGTGTTAATTACATTGCCGGGCCCCCAGTTCCGGACCCTCAGCGGGTGGGCGTGGCAGTACGAAGACCCCACTCGACTCAACTCGACTCTGTTTCTCTGTTTGTGCTTGTGTTAAGCATTTTGGCGCTGCTGAATGTTTAATTATCAAAAATTTTGCACTTGATTTTACCCTAACGAGCAGAGGGTATATCTGTTTTGAGCATTATCTTTGAAGAATGTTTGCAATGTTGAAATAGCCCATGGCATCTGTACACCGACGGAGAGTCTCTGTAGGTTCCGAAGGGTGCCTTAATGCAATGTCGCTGGACTTCCCTGATCGGGTAATACCTTTGCTAAAAATAAAGTCATCCAAATAAGCTTGCATTCCCCAAACTCTGAAGTGCTAGGGCATCAAAAGCTGCGACGCTTGGAAGAAGCTTTCCTTTAATATTTGGGTCTTTCCTGTTTTTCGTTTTCTGGCACATGTTCTCGCTGCGAGCGAGCGAGAGGGACGGCTTATGGTACTTGCATGATGTAAATGTACGTGTGTGTGTGTGTGGCCTTAATGTTTTTACAAGTGTGTGTTTGCTTTTGATCCCCTCTCTTTGCTTGCTCGTTCTCAAAATTTGATTTGGCCGTGTTTTGTTCTCATTTTGCATAATTGAAGGAAACGAGTGCGCCCCGGGCAAAAACAGATCTCATAGTTGCCCTGTGGCCTATTTATTTATTAATGCACTCCACACAGGCGAACCACTCCGCCAGAAACCAAGTACAGGACAAATTATTTATAATTATTGTACGAGCGGAAGAGACCAAAGGAAGAAGATGAACACCAAGGAAAACAGCACAGCTAAGTCGCCGCACATTTTTCATTTTTATGTCCGCATGAGGGTGCAGGAGGCACGGTGAGAGCATCAAAATAAAAAGGCAACAATATCAAGATAATTTAATGCCTTTAAAACAGCAAAATGCCGTTAAAACCAACAAAGGAAATCGCTTTCTGCAGTAGAGCCACCATCACCATCTCCATCTACATCTCCTTTCTGGCGCTGTCTCTCGGTTATTATCCCGTTGTCGCCTGACAAATAAACACATACCCGTGCAGTGGGGCTGTCCTCTAAAAGTGAGAGCCACCTCCACAGCCGACGAGGACTACAACACCAAGAACATTAAATTAAACACATAAATCATATTTTTTGTTGTTCAAGAGTGCGAGGTGTGGGAGGTGTACCATGGGGAATAATACTTAAAGGCGCCCTTGGAACAAATGAAACCAGAATATAATGTAATAGTCGCTTTTTTTCTGTTTTCGGTTTCATTGTGTTGTAATTAAAATTGTCTACCAGTTGCAGACATTGTTAATCATTTCGGGGTTTTGTTGCTTGTTTCAGGGCCAATGACCGTCTGGTTTAAGAGAGAACATCACGATTAAAGAACACGAAGAGATTTAAACATATTTAAATTTGTGCACCCAGTCCCATCTCTATGCAGATCACTTCCAATTACACACCCGTTCATTCCATACTCTTTCGATAATTAATAACTGCTAGAATTCCCTTTAAGGCCACGCCCATACCATCAACATATGGGCATTAATGCACTGATGAACTCACACACCTTCATAGATTTTATCTGCATAATTAATTGTTAATGGCGATAATGCCGCTCCCACAGAACCATAGGCTTTCGGTATTAATTTATGTATATTTGCAGAGATTTAAAATTAATTTCGTATTATTTGCTAAATCAACTGTAAATGTGATAAATTAATGGCTCAAACAAATCAAACTGACAAAAAGTGGTAGACAAGAGCTCTCATATATAATAATATAACTTTGTTATCAAATGTCTGGCTACTAATCCCAATTTTGGGCTAATTACTCATTAAAGGCTTTGGCAATGCCTGACTTTGTTTCCTTTTCTTTACCATTATCTATTAAATATTTCTCATATTTAGAGACTTGATTTTGTGGGAAAAAATGTTCAAGAGTTTCCAATTTTTGTTAAATTTGCAAAAGGTTTTTCCGTGCCTGGCCTTAAAGAAGAACAGTCAGTGCCGAGCCTTAAGCTGTCCTTTTTTTTGAGAAGGATTTATAGGTTATCCTGGGAAATCGAAGCTGCCAAAAGTGGGGCCCGAAAGTGGTTGCCTAAATAAATTCTAAAATCGGTTTAGACGGAAGTTTTTGGTTGGGGTTTTGGCTTCACTTTTCATGAGTTGTTTGTCTTTTTTACGAGCCTGGTTTGTTAATGCAAAAGTTACTCTGGGAAAGGGTGTTAAAAGTGCTTACGGTGGCGTCCCACTCCTCCGACGACCATCATCATCGGGTTAGCTAAGCAGCTTGGCATAAATTTGTACTTGGCTTTCAAATATTTGCCTTGCATTCCATTTCATTTTGGGCAACAAATTGTGAAAGACTCTTTTCTGTTTCCCTGTTTGAGTGCCTGTCTCTTTTAATTGTTGCATATTTAATGGGCTCACTGTAGCTCATTACCATTACCTGGGCTCACTTTTATGGCTTTTTCACGACACGATTCTCCTCTGGCTGCCATCAAATTTCGCCACCGCTGGCATTGCATATTTTAGTTTACTGTTTGCTCTGCTTAATGCCATGTGATTCCTGTAGCTCCCCTTTTACCAGACGTACTTCTCAACAATGTCCATTACAGCGGCCAGCGAGCGGGCCTGTACATAATTTCTATGTGCAGTGGATGTAAATGTTGCATAAAGTAAATGTGCACCGAAAACCAGCTATAATAATAAAAATAAAAAATATAATAATTTTCCCTGGCAACGCAATGTCCAAAGCTTCAAGGGTCGCCTGGGCCCATCACTGCTCAGAGTTGGCCTTTTCCTGGTTCTGTTCTGTCAGGGAGTCGTTCATTCGTTTGCGCTTTTCTGCTTCATTTTAAACGATGATACTTAAATTTCCATTAAAGCACTTGCCGCGACCATCAATAAAAGTCCCAGCAAGGAAAAGCGACTGCAAGAGCGGTAGAGAGAGAGACCAATGGACTGCGTAGCTTTTTTTCCCACAACCAAAGTCAAGCATGCTCTGCGGTTTCACCCCCGTACCAGTCCTGCCCATCCACCCAATCGCATGGCCAAGGGAAAGTGCGGGTGGTCGGGTCAAATATTTACAGTGCACAACTTTTTGCAAGTATATAATAACATTGTATTGGCTAGAGATGCACAAACTGCAGTCCCGCTGCGATATAAATTGCAATCCAAAGGAACATTGGCAAGGCATTTGTTTGTTTAATTTGTATAAAGATTGGAACTAAAATATTCATTTGGAATTTATTATCGTTCCTACACTTGATTATTCTTTATCTTGTATCTTCTCTATTTCGCTTCCTACTTTATTGATGTCTTTGTTATAAAGTTTAATGTTCTTTACACATACATTTGTAACTCCCTCTTGAAGCACTCTCTCCGCTACTGCTTAAAACTTTCATCACATAAAAATGTCTTGAAAGCTCCTATAACTTAAGTGCCAGCTAGGTAGCGTAAAATTCCTTTCCTCTCCAAAAAGTACAAGAAATATCACTGGGTTCTTTTGTGGTTTCTCTTACCGCCCTTACGCTTGTATAACTTCCCTTTTTGCGAGAACTTTGATGATTTATAGTCTCCCATCGCTGACAGCCGCAGCGGCAATGCTTTATAGGCTGCCAATGCAATTATACAAATGCGTGTGTATTTATATATTACGAGTACATATATAAATGTATGTATATTGTGTGTATGTAAAAATGAGTGCTGCAATGACGAGTGCCGCACAATTTCATTACTGGTTTGCATGTGAGTGGGCTGTTTTTTTTTCGCCCAGTTCTTGCCATTTAAGCAGTTGCCAGGCCACAAATATTTACTCTTTAAAATGAAAAAGACTCGGCTCCTGCTGCTCTTGGCCTAAAAAGGTTGGCCCTGTAACAGCAACAGCAGAGCCAGCATCAGCGGCAGCCGCAGATGAAGCACGATGAAGAGTTACAACCTGCGGCAACATCCGCTAAAAACAACAAGAAGCAACGCACTCCACGCACTCAAGAAGCAGTCCAATCCAATCCATGGCAAAATAATTATATAATGTTGCCAGCTGCAAATAAATTTATGAGTTCTATGGGATGGGGGGACTTCATTGTTGACTCTCTAATTCGTGGGCCCACGGCCCCCGGGGCCGATAGGAGAATGATAATGATAACTTTTGCCGTGGCTGCTGGCAGACTTAATAATAATGATAATGTGTCATAAGGCAATTATTCAGTTGCAAAAGGTTGCTGAAGGGAAGCGCAACATGAATAAATATCCTGCAGTTATTTGGAGTGTGTGTTGACAGCGAAATTGATTGCAATTAATGGGGGAACGTACCAGAGCGGGGCACACGCAGGAGTTGGAGTAGGAGTAGCAGTAGGAGGAGGCATATCCATGCTCGCATGTTGTCTATGCAACTCCTCTGGGCCGAGTATTAAGCTGCGGCTGAAGTGCAACAGTTTGCGCCTGAGTGCCTCGACTCAAAAGATGTTGACGGACAAAGCAAACAAAAACAGAAACTCTA